CAACAGAGTGCTTTCCCCAAGGACGTTCACACCTCCCTTATGATGTGCCCCATGTAAAGAGAAAAACAAGCCTGGGCTTCATGACTGGCAAGGCCTTAAAACCTACTTGATTATTATCAACCCCCTTCTGTCAGGTTCTATTTGCCTCTCAATTGGAAAACTTATTCATGGTTTAGACAGCACCTTTCTTACTCTACATCAATGGCTCTACTCCTGACCCATGTGTATTGATAGACCTCTCCCTGCCACTTAACATTGTATGATTACTCAGAACTTTTTCTACAAATAAACTTCTCCTCTCTCCCTCCCTATGGAGCCCCCTCCCCCACTTAGTTAATGCTGCCCTTAGGACCATTGGCTGCTATTCTCTCTCTCTCTTTTTTAAAGATTTATTTTATTTATTTAAAAGACAGAGTTATGGAGAGAGGTAGAGCCACAGAGAAAGGTCTTCCATCCGCTGGTTCACTCCCCAGATGGCCACAACGGGCCGGAGCTGCACCAATCCGAAGCCAGGAGCCAGGAGTTTCTTCCTGGACTCTCACACGGGTGCAGGGGCCCAAGGACTTGGGCCATCTTCTACTGCTCTCCCAGGCCATAGCAGAGAGCTGGATCAGAAGAGGAGCAGCCGGGACTAGAACTGGCACCCATGTGGGATGCCGGCACTTCAGGCCAGGGCATTAACCCACTGCGCCACAGCGCTGGCCCCAGCTGCTATTCTCACCCTAGCTTTTATACTACATTGTCAGTTTAAGTTTTTACAGGAAGTGATAATGGAATGAACCAAACCCTTCACCAACCAGGTGGTCAACCAAATGCTACTACAGGGATATACTCAGCTCCCCACCCAGGACATCATGACTTCAGATATCGCCCCATGTCAGCAGGAAGCAGCTCTAGACGATAATCATCATCCCTCCACCCCTCCTGGACTTCTGGGCCAATGTAATCCCATACAACATTTGCTTTATAAAAAACAAAAGGGGGAAATATTAGTAAAATGGTATGTTCTTATCTGTGGCGCCATCTTGGGCTCTGGCCCCTTCGCCATTTTGTACAATAAGCTTCATTCTTTGCCCAGCCTGGCTTACTAGAAGTCAGGTGACCAAATGGCCCAATCAAAGCATCAGCCCCACCCTGTCAATCACTTCTTATCCTTATGATAATAGCCAAAAATCTTTATCAATCGGACCCATGCATTCTTCTCCCAATCTCTGTGCCACTCTATCTACCTTTTACTTTCATTGCTTTTTAAAAATTAGTCCTTTGAAAACATCCAGTTACTTTCCACCTGTAAGATTTTGTTCTGCACAGAATGCCCCTCCAACTTTATTTGCTTCAGACTTAATTTAAATCAAACTCTTAAGTTCCTTCCCAACATGTGCTAATGATCCCCAGTATTTTTCATTCTTGGCATTTATTCCAGTTACCAAAAACTGTGCAATTATTTACCAAATGCACATCCCTCAAATTATACTTCAAGGTCTTTGGGGTCAGATACCTATATCCTCAATTACCTAACAGGCCTGGGCAACATGAATTTACCAATCTGCGTATAATTCCAGAGGGACCCTACACTCATTAGGCTGCTGCATTTGATAGGGGAGATATGTTTTGAATCAGAAATGCTTTTGTGCACATTTCAAGCCAGTCTATAGGCAGTCTATGTTAAGGCCATCACCACTAACCAGTAAATATATAGTTCTGGGACTGGCATTTTAATAATCTAGTGACATAGTAACAGCTTAAAATTTTATCCACATAGCTAAATATCTTGGACTGTAAACAAAATGTTCCTACAAATTCACAGTCCATTTTTATCTGGTGGGTTTTAGGTATTTAATATTCAGTAGTATTTTATGTAAGGTGGGGAAATTAAATTGCTATAATATGCAATTATTCTCAAATTTAATATTTTCCAAAAATAGTTCTTGTTATATAAAGCTGACTGACTGAATTACATAGTGTTTATCATACTTTAAATATTAGCAAAGTTCTGAGCCACAGAAGCAAATGATGAGACTAGAGACCAGCATAATACAGTTCTGAAGAGAATCCCTTAAACAGCACCTCCCACAATCCTGTAACACCCCTTCCCCGTCACAAATCATAACCACAGAGCAGAAACGTGCTTTTCATCTGAACAGCTGGAAGTTCGGTTTCTGACAAAGCACTCACTATAAAATAAATCTGAGCTAGATAAATGTGATAAAAGCTAAAAGTCAATAATACAAACTCTGTTACATGGCAAAATTATGCTTTAAGAGGTAAGCACTTGGCATAGCAGTTAAGATTGTAGCTTCGGGGGCTGGCGCTGCGGTGTGGTATAGTAGGTTAATCCTCCGCCTGTGGTGCCAGCATCCCATATGAGTGCTGGTTCTAGTCCTGGCTGCTCCTCTTCCCATCCAGCTCTCTGCTATGGCCTGTGAGCAGAAGACGGCCCAAGCACTTGGGCCCCTGCACCAGCATGGGAGACCTGGAAGAAGCTCCTGGCTTCTGGCATCGAATCGGCTCAGCTCCAGCCATTGCAGTCAATTGGGGAGTAAACCAGCGGATGGAAGATCTTTCTCTCTGTCTGCCCCTCTCACTGTAACAGTACCTCCCAGATAAATAAATAAAAATCTTAAGAAAAAAAAAAAGATGTGGCTTGAGATGCCCACATCTCATATCAGAGTGCCTGGGATCAAGTCCTGACTCTTCTTCCAATTAAAGCTTCCCTGAGAAGCAGCAGGTGATGACTCAAGTACCTGGGTCCCTGCCACTCATGTGGCAGACCCAGACTGAGTTGTGGGCCTCTGCCATAGGGTTGGCCCAGCTCTAGCTGCTGTGGGCATTTGGGGAGTGAGCCAATAGATAGAAGATATCTGTCACTCTTTCTGCCTTTCAAATGAATAAAAAATTTTTTTTAAAGATTTATTTATTTATTTGAAAAGCAGAGTTAGAGAGGCAGAGGGAGAGAGAGAGATAGGTCTTCCATCTGCTGGTTCACTCCCCAAATGGCCACAATGGCCAGAGCTGGGCTGATCCGAAGTCAGGAGCCAGGAGCCTCTTCTGGATCTCCCACGCAGGTGCAGGGGCCCAAGCACTTGGGCCATCTTCTACTGCTTTCACAGGCCATTGCAGAGAGCTGGATAGGAAGTGGAGCAGCCAGGACTTGAACGTAGCACCCATATGGGATGTCAGCACTGCAAGCAGCAGCTTTACCCACTACACCATAGTGCTGGCACCAAATAAATAAAAATTTTAAAATAATAAATCATGCTTCAAGTTCTACAATATGAGTATAAACACATTTATATATACTAATGACATAAGAGACCCCTAACATTCCACGGAAGTGTACATTGAGCCCAAAATTCAAATACATTGTCATCAGAAATGTGAGACTGTTGTAATACCACCAGTTCCATTAAAAAAAAAGTTGCCTTGAAAAGTACAAACTTAGATCTCTTTCACTAATAAATTCACAGCAAACAAGTAGTCAAAATTATTCTACACACTTTATATAGTCTGCAGTGACTTTTCTCTACCACTAGATGGTATGATCAGCTTTAGAAACCTAGGGAATAAAAATGCCAGCTGGCTATTTATTAGTAATCAGTATATTTTAATCATTCTTCTTAAATGTCTCAAATATCCAGTCCCAGGATGCTCATATTGTATTCACCAAATCAGGAGTTTAAAAGCTCAACTAACCTATATGGCACTATAATCTTATAGAGTATCAAGTAATACAGTTAAAATGTGAAGTAATGAAAGGTAAGAAAGCTTACTCTGTTTTGCAAAAGATTTTTCAATTCTAGAACTGAGGAGAAAATGGAAGAAAGAAATATAAAGGCTTTCCAGTCACAAAATTTTACTTCAAAAACATTTTGTTCTTATTATTTAACTAGTGTAACTTAAAGACTAGTTCTTGCTAAAGACTATTTTTTTTTGGACAGGCAGAGTGGACAGTGAGAGAGAGAGACAGAGAGAAAGGTCTTCCTTTGCCATTGGTTCACCCTCCAATGGCCGCTGCGGCCGGTGCGCTGCGGCCGGCGCACCGCGCTGATCTGATGGCAGGAGCCAGGTACTTCTCCTGGTCTCCCATGGGGTGCAGGGCCCAAGCACTTGGGCCATCCTCCACTGCACTCCCTGGCCACAGCAGAGAGCTGGCCTGGAAGAGGGGCAACCGGGACAGGATCTGGCGCCCCGACCGGGACTAGAACCCGGTGTGCCGGCGCCGCAAGGTGGAGGATTAGCCTAGTGAGCCACGGCGCCGGCCTTAAATTTACTTCTAAACACGTCTAAACTTAGGGTACTAGTTCCCTAGACACTAGTCCCCACTCATCAGTAGAGGACACATTCCAAGACCCCCCGGTGGGTGCCTGAAATCACAGACAGTACTCAACCCTGTATATACTGTTTCTCCTGTATATACATACATATCTCTGATAAAGTTTAACTTATAAATTAAACATATTAAAAGATTAACAATTAATACAACAATTATACCAATGTATAGTAATGAGTAATTTTAAATGTATGAACTATTTCTGGAATTTTCCATCTAGTATTTTCAGACTATGATTTACTGAGGGTAGCAGACACTGCAGAAAGTGAAACTGCAGATAAAGGATGGGACTACTGCACAATCTGAATAAATGTTTAATAGAAAGGCTGGTGATCTCAAAATGTATTAGTATTCCCAAGTTAACATTACTTATAACAGATGCTAACAAGGATTCCAGTTACTACCCTTACAGAAACACAATACCACTAGATCATTCCTTCCTAAAGAGATATAAATTTTCAATACACATTTTGCAAGAACTTTGGGATAAAAGTTTTCTTAGAAATTCTGATCTTTTCCCACTATATACATTAGTTTATTCTAATGCTTTTGTCAATTCATTTAAATATACTTAATAATGAGACATATTTTATGGTAAAAATTAATGTATAATTCACTCGTATTTTACTCAAAATTCTTCTCAAAACTGAAAAGTGGCTGAATGACATACCTTCAGAGTTATGTGCAGTTTTCTTATGTTTTCGGCAATAAACCCTATAAAAAAGGAAGATACAGAAAATTATCAAGTACACAAACAAAATGAAATTCAGTTTTTGGTCATTGCTATTAGAACTCACAATAATATAGTCATAATGTGCTCTAATTTTATTTATTTTTATTTTTTGAACGCAGACAGAGAGAGAGAGAGAGACAGAAACAAAGGCAGTGACACAGAGATCTTCATCAGCTGTTTCATTCCCTAAATGCCTCCCACAGACCAGGGTTGGACCAGGCCGAAGACAAGAAGCTTGGAACTCAATCAAGTCTCCCACGTGGGTGGCAAGGACCCAAGTACTTGAGTCATCATCTGCTGCCTCTCAGGGTAAGCATTCAAACAAAGCTGGAATTGGAAGCAGAGCTGGGACTGAAGCCAAGGCACTCTGATAGGGCACAAGAGCATCCCACGTGGCATCACTGCAGCAAATGTTTGTCCCTAAACTCATTTTACAAAATAAGAAAAATGAGCAATGTACTTTATCCCATTCACAAGCTGGCTGAAAACATCTTGCTATGAAATTTCTTGTATCAACTTTGAGCATTAAACCCCTTATCAAAAATATTCTTCACGATGAGGATAAAATACTCCACAATGTGAAACATCTTTACAAATGCCTAAAGAAGATATGACTGTTCAAAGAAACTTAAAGAGAAGTCAAATAATTACATGTAAATTCCTTGTGAAGGTTTCTCTCGGATTTGAGCTTTATCATGCAATGCACAGTGGTAGTGGTATGTCCTATGACATGTTTTCACATCACAGCCAATGGTTGCTCCAGGACAGTGGCACAAAGAACACATCTACAGCAAAACAACAAAGTATTATTAGCAGTATGTGATTTTTCTGAGGCCATGGTATCAGGTTAGAGGCATATCAATTTCTGTCAAGAAAAACAAACTGGTTATTGAAAAATTTTGCAATTAATAATGCTACTTTTCTTTCCTAGAAATAATTCTTCTAAGGGTATTTTTTCCTCATATTAAACACTGACAAGAATCAATGGGACATTATTAATGTCTATTATTTCATTGTGGTCAAGAAAAAAGTTGAAATACAGATCAGGAACATGAGCTATACACAACATTACAAAAGGATCAGACCTTGGGGAAAATGTCTCCTCATACCTGAAAATTTTTTGAAATTTCCACTTAATCAATGAGAATCTTTGGGGGGGAAAGCCTCATACACTATTTAGGAACCTGGTAAAATCAACTTAACGTGAAGGAATGAGAGGAGATAAAAGAATTAGGTAATTTTTTAAATATATTGAGCTCTGAGAATATTTTGTGGAATCAAGTTGATTGCACTGTAAAAATGTGCTCACCTACTTCAATTTAATCAGGTACTTACCTTTTGACATATACATACAACAGTCTTTTAAGGTATTTTAATATACTTTACCTCCTAAATTTAATGGATAATTCATATTGATTAACTAGCTCATATTCTAGATTTAAAAAACTTTCTTTTTAAAAAAGTATGTAACAGTGCTTGTTAGTGGTTTTGATTCACATAGTGAGGTGTACTGTGTAAGCAGACTTTTACCGAAGCTGTAAGATAAATATGAAACACTATTAATTTGTTTCTTGGTTGCTAGATACCTCATTCTAAACTGTTCTCAGTCCTCTTTATTAATTTGAACATAAAGCACACTTACTATCCTAACTCTTGCATTTCTTTGCCTCTAAGCAATTCTGATGTACCAAGAGGCTAATACAAATTGCAATGAAATTTCTTACATTTCTCTAAGCAAGTCAAACACTCAAACTCTCAGTGACACTATCATTTAAAAATATTCATATCTAAGTCAGAAACAGAACCACTCTCGATACAGGTACTTCCCAGAAAACATGAGGGCCAGTACCCATTATTAGTACTTGAGAAAGACCTCACTTCCTTAAATAAATACAGAAGCTTCAAGTATTACTGTAAGAAGACATACTCTGCCAAATTATCAAGCGGGGAAAGGTTTTGGATGGTTTATAAATTCTTAAGGAGGAAGAACATCTGTATGAAAGCTTAATCATAAAGTTCTATTATTTTAGGGAATCACATTTTTGACCAAAAACCAGACTAATTATAGAAATTTTTTAGAAAACAAAAAAACTTTAAAAAATCATTCATACTCACCAAGCAGATGCCTTATAGTGTTATGATGCTTACATGAATTCTGCACACACTATTTTGCAACCTACTTTTTAAACAGTTAATAAATTCAATGTTACCCCACCTCATTAAGGACTCTACAGTAAGTAGTTTACCTTAAAATGCATCTACAATGGATTCAGATAGTTACATCTGGAACACACATCGCTGAATTCAATTAGTAAGCAAAACTGAAAGGAGAGCTGCTGTTAAAAATACTGTGTTGAGCTCAATGCTGGAAAGACAGTGGGCTAGACACACTCCTGTGCTGCAAAGTAATTTGCCTTACTTATTGGAGAGCTTTTTAAAAGTTTATATTCTCTGATCTAGTAATTTTACTTCCATAAATCTGGACTAAAAAAGTTGGATCCAAACAAATATATTTACCAACACAGTCATTGTAGGATTGTTTAAAACAACCCCAAATGGAAAACAACTCACGAAAAATAAGTGAAAGATGTTCAATAAATCATAGCACATCTGTTTGAAGCAATAATCTATTAACCACTCTTTCAAAGATATTTTAATGGCATGAGAAAAGGCTGACATGTGCTAAGTGAAAAAATTAGGCAGATATAAAACTATGTGAATCATGATCACAATTATGTTTGTAACATATATTCTTTGAAAGTAAATGGAAGTAAATAAAGCAAAATGCCGAAGTGCTCTCTCTGAGTGGTTGGTTTTCCCTATTATTTTGTGATTTTCCCACAATGGGCAAAAGTACTTTTATATGCAAAAAATTTAAAAAACATTATAAATACTCTAAAAATTACTTTCAATACCCATCTCTCTGGTGTGAATGAAAAGGAAACTGAAAACCCAACATATATCAAAAACAGTTTTTTGGCTGCTTATAAATTCAATTCTTCCCAGAGTAACTGGTTTCAGCTGCTATAGTAAAAAAAGCAATTTTGCAAATAACCAGTTAACTATAGCAATTTAAAAAGTGAGAGAAAGTGTATTTTATTTTTATTGTCAGTCTCACTCAAGGAAGAGAAAGACATTGCAATAAAAATATTTTCAGTGTGGAAAATTCTTCTCAAGCATTTTGCTGAATTAAAATTCACAGGATCTAATTCATGTAGTGTTCATATACAAAGAATCAAATTTTTGGCAAGGTACTAACAAAATTGCAAAAATTATCCATAATTAAATTCAAATAAAATATTACATTTCTTCGCTTACCTATCTAAGCAAAAAGCAAAAATAACTGTTATCTTTCAGTCTACTACCCTATATTCCAATCCCTGAAACAATCCTTTTCCTGGAACTCCTTCACGACTTACCATATGAAGTGCTCATTTTTGACTCTCACCATTTTATCCCCTTAGATGGCTAATTGTCTTTATAAATATATAAATTTTATTGAATGCCTTCTATACTGAAATTTTTGAAGATTAAAGCTGTTTTATAAAGTAGTGCTCAATAAATCTGTTGATTGTAAGCTGTTATTGAAGATTTTCAAAATCTTGTGGCATCTTTTTTTCTCATTCACATTTCCAATACCTGCAGATTTAACATAATTATCTTCAGGGACTTCTAAAAATATATAAACAGTCTGTCTAGGATTGAGAAAAATAAAACTGTGGAGAATGATCCAGTTGAACAGGCACAGAATGAGCGTTTGGGGAAAAAAAATTAGCTCTGCTATAAACAAAGCTGAGAACTAAGAAGAGATAAAAAGAAAAATTTAAAAAGGTGAAAAATAGATAGCTGGCTAGTAGCTTTTTTTAAAACTGTAGGAACTAACAAAAAAAAAGATACCTGCTCTTGGAAAAAAAGTAGAACTAGAAAATGGGATCTCCACTACTACCACCATCTCCACTGCTACATTAAGGCACCAGTTGGTTGGACCCAAATAATGGTATCCCCCTTCATACGAAACATTCGCTCTCCAATTCACCATTCCTCATGGCCCTCAACAGAACTGATAGCTGCCATTCATCATCATGCTTGCACTGTACCCATGGCTCCCTCCATGTGGGGAAATGAAAGTTAACGTGACGAGAATACCTTCTTCAAAAACAATGGTAGACTTCGCCCCACTGCCAAAAAAAGGCCTGACCCACATATCAGATATTTTCTTGAGAGCTTCTTTCTTTCTGTCAACACACATATAAAGGTTACATAGAAATAAGAATGATCTCAAAATATCCTGCTAGTGTCCTAATGTGAAGTTCTTGATTTAAACAGATTTACTCTCCTATTAGTTTGCTACCTTAGTAGGCCTAGTGAACCTCAATACCAGTTCCAAATTGGGGAGATTTGAAAAGGCAACTTCATCCTCTTATAGGTCTCTGTGTGGCATCTCTATACTGCTGTTAGAAGCTACACTAACTTAAAGGTAAGTTGTGCTACAAATCAGTTTCAAGGAGCTGACCCACAGATGAAAGAGGAACTAAGTCACATATGAGAGTGGGTACAAGGAACTATCAGGACCATGACTTAGTTAAAGTCTGGTAGGAATCAGAGTTTGGGACATAGCTGTTCCTCAGGCACCTGAATTACACCAGGACTGAAATTTAGTTTGCAAAATGAAATCTTAAGTAATGAAAGGAAAAATATTGCTTTCTAGCTAAGAGGCAGTAAAACTAGAATGAGATGGCCAACTTCTAGGGTATGCAGCAAAAGGCTCTTCGGGAAAAGCTTCAATCTGATGTCTAGATAGAGCCACATGGAACCCAGGGAGGAAGCACTCCCTACAATTTAGCTTTGCCCAGCTTACTTGCTGTATATCTACTACACATGTCAGTAAGTAATTACAGGTGTTCAGATATAAATTCTCAAAGTATTGTAGTTACTACTCTCAAAACACCTGCTCCAAGAAAACAGCTACAAATGCACAGTGACTGCAAAGGAAGGTACAACAACAGGCCATGTTCTTGAGCCTGTAGGCAAAGAAAAAAATGACAAAAGTACTGGTAGTAGATGACAGGATACTGTGGATATTTTCACAGGAGATCAGAATCAAAAAGAAGTGGGAACAGCTCACCTCACACAGGTGCTTAGTTTTTGGTTTTATTAACAGATAACACTATCTCCAGTTAAAAAACAGAAAGCAGAATAGTGAATTGGGTTAAGTTTTCAGAGATGTCCCCCTTTTTTTCTTTGACAGGCAGAGTGGATAGAGAGAGACAGAAAGGTTTTCCTTTTGCCGTTGATTCACCCTCCAATGGCCGCCACGGCTGGCGCACTGCGGCCAGCGCACCGCGCTGATCTGAAGGCAGGAGCCAGGTGCTTCTCCTGGTCTCCCATGGGGTGCAGGGCCCAAGCACTTGGGCCATCCTCCACTGCACTCCCTGGCCACAGCAGAGAGCTGGCCTGGAAGGGGGGCAACCGGGACAGAATCTGGCGCCCCAACCAGGACTAGAACCCGGTGTGCCGGCGCCGCTAGGTGGAGGAGTAGCCTATTGAGCCGCAGCGCCGGCCAGAGAGATGGCCTTTCAAATCGTACTTAACTCCAGGTTCATTGCTTTATGGTAACTCCACGCATATCCAACATAGAGAATAGGGTGCCCTCTGAATTACTGGCTGACAGTTGCCTGGTTTATTAAAAATTCCTTTTAAAAAGTATGCATGGGAGGGTGGAATATGAATTCATTAACTGTTTTTGTTTAATCCTACAGCTACTATTTTAAAAAGCCCAGCATTT